ATAACACCATTTCCCTTTATATATTTATATATTATATATATATATATTCATATATTAAACTTTTTGATTAAAATCACTATCATAAGAAACGCTTCCATGCAAATCTATAAATAGTATTAAATTTTAAGAAATTGGTGGATTATTCAAAAGCAAAATTCTAACTTAAAAAGAATTAAAGAAAAATCACTGATTTTTACTGAATCGGCAAACGTTCATCGCATTCATTTTTTAATAAAATTGGCAATTTAAGCTGATTCAAATGTTAAAATTAATTTTTTCGACTTAAAAGAAAAAAATATTGAAATAAGTTTAACTTTATGTTTTATGTCAATTTGTATTATATAATATTCATGAAAATCAGTGTAACCCATTATAAGGTATATTAAAGTAAATTAAAATAAAAAACCCAACATTTTAGCACAATAATAGCATATTTTTGAATATGATAACCAATTTAAAGGTCAGAGTATTTCTGGAAAAAGTTAAGTTAAAAAAGTTTAATTTTTTACTCGTATTTTTAAAACTTTAAACCCCTCTTGTATAAAGGAAAATGGTTTGAAGCTCGAAGTATTCCCGTAACATTTTCAAAACTTAAGTTGAAAAAATTTAATTTTTGTGCAGAAGTTGCAATTTTGAGTCCCCCCTGTGGGCAGATAAAGGGTCAGATTTTAAACAAATTTATATTAAATAAAAGGAAAAAATCTAAGGTTTCTATATAAAAATTAATTATTTCGATTTGTTCATTTTTCAATAAGTTATGGCAATTTTCAAAAAAAAAAAAATGTCGAAATTAAATTTTTTGAAGGATTTTCACTATTTACGGAGAATGAGGAAAAAATTTTCAATTTCTGAGGGTATTATCTTCAACTAGAAACGATTTGTGATCATTTGACGTATTGTTGAGAAAAATCGGTTCAGTGAGAGGTGAGAAAAAGTAGTGACAGACACAAAAAAATAAAATAAATAGTTGGCTCAGCTCCAATAGACTATCAAATATTACTTACTATATTGCTATACATACATATATAATGATAATTGTGATATTTTAGGGCAATACCAATGTAAATTAATAGATATTGTCTTACATAAGCTGAGAATAATTATTATCTGTTATGAAAATAGTTATAACAAGTACTATTTTTAAAAAAACTGACGACTTAATATTTAGCACTTGTGAACAAACAAAACAATATTGCCTACAAATAGACATTGTGTAAAATTACTGCCGGCCTTTAAACTACTTTCTTGGTATAAATATTTGTAATTTAAAAACGATTCTATTTTAACTAATTGTGTTGTAATTTATCTTTCGTCAATCCACAATATAATCCTCGTTCAACAATTATGAATATTACAATTGTAGAAACTTTTGACACATTGTAGAGTTACATAGAAATGATAAAAATAATTTCTATTTAAGTTATTTATTTCGATATTAATACAAAAAAACCTATCACAGGGGGGTCACGGCGTAGTGGTGACGTGGCATAGTTAGATCAAGTATAATGATATCTGACAGTGATTAAAATCACTATCAAAAAAACGCTTCGATGCAAATCTTTAGGTAGTGTTTAATTTTAAAAAATTGGTGGATTACTCCAAAAATTACATGATCTGCTAGTTCCTAATTAATATCCAGATTAAGATAAAGTATATCGAATGAAAAAGGGACATAAATATTATTTCTCATAAAAAAATTGTATTGATCCATACACTTTTCAATAAGTTATAGCATTATAAAGTTAAAAAT